CACTTAATACCCCAGCAATAAACGTTGCATAGCACTTAATACCCCAGCACTAAACGTTGTATACCACTTAATACCCCAGCAATAAACGTTGTATACCACTTAATACCCCAGCAATAAACGTTGCATAGCACTTAATACCCCAGCACTAAACGTTGTATACCACTTAATACCCCAGCACTAAACGTTGTATACCACTTAATACCCCAGCAATAAACGTTGTATACCACTTAATACCCCACCAATAAACGTTATATACCACTTAATACTCCAGCAATAAACGTTGTATACCACTTAATACTCCAGCAATAAACGTTGTATACCACTTAATACCCCACCAATAAACGTTGCATCACTTACCACCCGATTATAAACTTTACACCACACACTGTACAATTTCCCACTTAGCGCCAGGGCTAGTTTATTGGGCACCCTCTTATATCCTATGTAATGAGAAGCTCAGAGCCATTACAACGCCCAACAGGGAAGCTCGTGGAGTTCAAGCTAACTTTCTTAGATTTAGATGATGGATAGACGAGTGTACCTGAATGATTATTGGTCCTATTAGCAGATTACAGGTATATATAGGGATGATTACCTGTACACTTCATCTGTTTCCAAAAATAAAATAGAATGATATTTAAATCTGGTATCGAGAGGGAAAAATACAAGAGTTACATCGAGGTGCATCAACAACATGAGTTTACGTGTTAACTTTATATCGCCTGAGTGTTACTGTGTGTCAGACATGGAGCTGGACAGGATGCCAGGTGGGTGTGTGTGTGTGTGTAGCAGCATGGTATCAAATGACTCCAGCAACCTGTCTCAGCTGTCCACGCTACCCACTCCACCCACCCACCCACACACTCACACCGGCCACCATCAGGGATTATATGTGTTACCTGTGAGTTAGTTGTGAATGTTACACAGGTGAGAACAATGGTAAAGTAATAAACACGTCAGCTGGAGCCTAACAGTACTACAACGCGGAAAAAAAAGAAGAGAATTACCACTACTTGTTTCCGATGAAGAGTCCAGCTCACACACGTACCTCACATAAACATAAACACACACAATATATAACCTGATTACCTGATTTCTCCTGCAGGTAAGACAAAAAGAGCCCCACTTCCCACACTACCTGTCCTACGCCGTTCACACTCCACCACACGACAACAGGAACCAAAACCAATTATATATCGACGTAGCCCTGAGGTGGTCAAGAGTCTCGGTAAACCATCTTCCCACTTGTACCAATACTATTTAAAGGGATTAAATGACCCTCTACGCCCGAGATTAAGTTATAAGAGCAGTAACGTGAGCGATGAGAACGGGTTCCTCCCTTACAACGTCGAGTCTGTGGTGGGCAGAGGAAACCTTACCTGCCCCAACCCGCCGTGTCCGAGACAGAGCGAAACTACCCCCTTTTTTTTTTTACTGCCTTAACGGTGTCCTGGGAGTAGCTAAACCACTGACTGAGTGATCGCCACATCGCGTCCTTGGTAATGTGATGTTATTACGGAGGATATACTATGTGGTTTGTGAACGAGACGGGAGTAATTTTCTACTTTATAGACGCCGCCCTACTGTGATATATCTTGTTTCTGTAAGATGGATGACGTCTGGTCCGGTGAGAAAATCTTCTTGGCTCATAGTAGTGGTGAGGAGGAATGTTTTACAGAGGAGTCTTTCCACACACACACACACAGCTTTAGCAAATTCTTTCTTAACCTATTTTCTCAAACTACTGATACAAGTACTGGCTTTAAGAGAGCTGCAACACTCGAAAGACTCATCCAAATCAATCCTCTTCTTCCTGTTGTCTAGTTTATATCTATGTTATTCTGGCTACAAAAAATTTCAATCTCAATTTCAATTTTCAAAGACGGTCATGGTGTGATCTGGTGAACCACTACTAACAACCCAATTCACCAACACCCATCGTTAAGACTCTCTACCAATTCAATGCCTTAATCCTGGCACAAAATCCTAAAGAAATCTATACCACATCAGAAAATAACCTTTATCAAAATACTTGACACTTTAAGCACGTAATTTGAGGTCAGTAAATATTTTTTTTTCTAAGTTAACAATTATTCACGCTTGTTACCTGGGATTCCTACGTGACCTGAATCAAATCAGACTTACATCGTGTTTGACATTTCAACAGTTTGTCAGCTAATATTTTGGTACATACAAATCAATATTCTGAAGGACATGAAACCCATGATTTTAAGTACATTTTAGGTGATATCTCGTAACCACATTGCAACTATAAAATGTTGAGAAATTTTGCAATATAATGTGTGTGTGTGTAAGACTTATTTTTTTATGTTTTTATATATATGCCGTAAACGAAATATTCAATCCCACACAAGAATATTCCTTCTTATATTCTACTGTGCTGGGTATCTCTAACAAGGTGGTTCATTTAAGAGTCAATAACAACAAGGTAGAGACAAGGTGTGTTGAGTTTCCCACCTTTACCTGTTGACACGACACCTTCCCCAGACACTCGTACCTTGCCTGATGGGATACTGGGAGAGCTTGGCTTGCTGGCAATTATAACACCTTCTTGAACTGCAGTTAATTACAGGTATAACACATTGCTGAAGTGAAGGTAATTATAACACCTTGCTGAAGTGAAGTTAATAAAACACCTTACTTTACTGAAGTCAATTACCTGGCTAAACTGAAGTCAATTATAACACCTTGCTTTACTAAAGTCAACAGCCTTGTTCTGCCGCAGGTCACTGCTCCCATAACTCACTGTCATTCCAGCGTCATATCATGATTCATCATCTCAGTAAGCGCACCTCCAGCCATGACTCCTGCGTATGAATCCACTGCCTCTCTGACCCCAGGAGGAGGAGGAGGAGGCCCGCTAATCACCAAACACCCCAGGTATGGTAGTGAGTGACTCCCCCAGCAGGTGGGTAATCTCGAGTCTCTTCCCCTTGGGTGTTATGATGCAGTTCCCTGGTATGTGATCAATTTTACCTGGTGAGTACCTTGTGTTAAATTTTGATTACGATGACATAAGTTCTTTAGTAAATCGTAGTGGTTCAATAAGGCCTATAATCAATGTGTTAATTCGTATCATTAAAACCTTTATGGCACTGCGTTTAGTGGGTTCGTGTTAGTCAGCTCAACACCCCGCCTCTCTTGACCAAGCTGATGGATGTCATATGTTCGTGTATGTGAGGGATGTATATTTTTATTTTCCAAGACCAGTGTCTTTTTTTTTATATTAGCTGCACCTGTCTGCTCTATGAAAACAAATCGAGAGAGAGAGAGAGAGAGAGAGAGAGAGAGAGAGAGAGAGAGAGAGAGAGAGAGAGAGACCCTTCGACCTTGATATAAAACTTTCTAGATATCACTTTACAATCAAACTATCAATACCTCACACCTTTATTTAGGTAACCTGTGAAGAAGGATAATATTGCACTGTTGTCATCTGTAAACGGAGAAATACATACCTAAACCACACATCCAGAATCAATAGTTATAGAAGCAAGCGAAACAGAATTAAATATTACCACTGTGTTTTTTGTTTCTCTGTCATATAAAGATCATTAGTTTAGGTTATTATATTCTGTGTATTATGAGCCTCTGGTAAGGGTATAGTACGTCTAGGTAAGTCACCAACACCCCCATGGTCTGATTTTCATCCCCTGTGCTTCCTTTTTGCATGTTTAAATAATTAGTACAGTGTTTCTGATGGCTTATAACTATTATTGTCATTATTATCACTCATCATTATTATTATTATTTTCGTTGTTGTTAATATCATCATTATCCTAAGAGACATTAACAGTCTTATTCCTATCAATATCATCATAACTATTATCATTATTGACTTCATTACGACGTTGTTTCTCTCATTATAATTACCCAACAAAGTGTCAGGGTGTAGGATCTATAAGAGGGGCGGTCGGGCGAGCGGGTCATCAACAGAAGGCGATACATAAACCCTGGACCGTCAACATCACCCCGCCAAGCCCCACTCTGACTCGCTAATAGCAAAGAGTTATGAAAAGCGATTAAGGTAGACGACCATTAAGTGCAATCATAGCATTTCATTCCGTTAGTCGGACTTGTTGATGAATTACACAGACACGGTCACCACCACCACCACTATAGTCAGTCCATTCGGGTCAACACCTTCCCTATTACACCACAAGAGTCCTGGTGTTGGCGAGCGGCCCAGGGCGGTGCGCTCCCTATCCCCCCCGGGTACCCCTACACCTGCCCTACGGTCACCACCTGCATTATAAACTTCGTGAAGATGACCACTGTGGCTCATGACCTCAAATAAAAAATGCCGTCTCACTCGGAGGTAACGTGAACAAACAGTCAGAAGTACCTCTCCCCCCGACCCCGTTATGCTCGCCACCAGGTCCTTTGTCACATGGGTTAATCATCTCAGGGGGCGTCTCCGTGTGATCCTTCCCTTCAAACACTCCCTCCCGTGTGGCTCCTCAACATACCTCTTTATCCCGTGGGGTTCACGCGAGGGCATGTTGGTATAGTGGGGCGTCTTGCGGATAAAACAACCAAAAAGACAATGTTGCAAGCTGCATACCAATCGTCACAGAGGAGACTTGTCACCTTCCTGCACACTTCTTAACCCCTACCAACCTCCTCACAACCTCACGCTCCACCTCATTAAGTCATGAGGTTATGGGATGAGGAGCTCCGGCGTCCTCACAGTCACCGCCTCGACATTAAAGCAGCCTCGGCCGTAGCACCCAGACTTGTGTTCACTGTGCTTGCTGCAATCACTGTACTTGGCCGCTGCTTGCCATCCTCACCTTGCAGTATGCCAGACAAATTATTTAACCCCGGACACTCCTGGTGGGGGGAACACAGCCACCTCAACGGCCACGGAAAACAATGCTTTATCCTCTCGTGATCACAGGCAATTTCAATACGATTCGAATTCACAATGAGCGCACACGAGCACTGCAAGCACACACACACGCACGGCGAAGCACTCCTACACGGGTGGACGAACGCATGCGCCGAGACGGGATGGCAGGACTGAACCGCCCCACACCGGCGACTGACTTGTGGCTGGCGAGTGGCGAGGCTGCTGCCCTACCCGCCCAACTCACTAGCTGGCAACCCGCTCGCCTACTGCAGGACCCAGTCTGCTCTGTGTGTGTGTGTGTGTGTGTGTGTGTGTGTGTGTGTGTGTGTGTGTGTGTGTGCATGCTGTCCCGGCGTGTGTGTGTTTGTGTCTGGCCTTATGTGGGGGAGTAGGCAGTGTGGGGGGTGCGGGGAGTGTGTGGGAGATGGAGGCAGGTAAGAGCAGGAGGAGGAGGAGTAAGATGAGGAGGGGAAGGTGGAGAGGTTGTGTGTAGTGAAGGAGGATCATGCAGGCTGTGGAGGGAGGGAGGGACCTGAAGCAGGTGTGTGTCATGCACTAGACGCTGTGTGAGGGGTGAGTGTCCTGGGAGAAGGTGGTCGCTGCACACTGTCTATGAATGGTACACCACAAGTAAACAAACAGTCGCCCCTAAAAACACAGCCACCTAAACCATATAAGTCAGGTAAATTACAGGAGCCACAGGTAAACTACATAAGCCAGGTAAACTACATTAAGCCAGGTAAACCATTTGAGGCAGGTAAACTACGAAAGTCACAGGTGGACAACTGCATGACGGGAGACTTCAATGCGTACAACAAACTCCCCAACGAAAGAAGAATCAAGGAAAAAAGGCGAATAAAAAAACAGTAAAAATAACAAAAGAAGAGAAAGAAAAATCCAAACAAAATGGATGAATAAAAAAGACGATAAAAATAACAAACAGGGGGAAAAAGAGAATAAAGGAGAAGAGGAGAACATAAGAGAGAGGGAATAAACATCAAAACAAGAGAGAGAACGTCACACGGGAGCTAATCAGAAACAGTATGGTCTATTTAGTCTTCGTGTACAGGGAGAGACCTCGTGACCTTGAGAAGGACACGGGGGTGGGGGGGAGGGGGTGGAGGGGGGGTTTACTCCTATGTGTTTACCTCCCTCTCTCTCTCTCTCTCTCTCTCTCTCTCTCAAACCCACCCAACGCTCTATCGAAAGAGAGAGAGAGAGAGAGAGAGAGAGAGAGAGAGAGAGAGAGAGAGAGAGAGAGAGAGAGAGAGACCAGCGTATTTCAATATATAGAAGAAAAAAATCATGTTTCTCACCATAACTGTTTTACGAGACTACGGTTATACTACAAGCTCGTCTACAGTATGTCTCTCATCCTCGTTTATGTCTCACGCACGTATATATGTGTCATGCGTATCTATGTGTCTCATTCGTATTCATGTGTTCTACTTATTATGTTCCTCATGCGTATAACAAAATCTAGATCTACCTGTGTATACTGTGGTTTTTTTTTGGTAATTCTTATAGCAAACTAAAGTGGGACAGACAAACAGACAGACAGGTACAAATCCATATACCCCGTCTACATAAACAGCAAACATAAAGGCAGTAAAATAAACCAGTCTGTTATCGTGTTGTAGAATATACTAAAAGTGATCACCTGTAAGTCACCTTCGCTGCCGTACCAATCAAGGCCGCCCCCCCTACACGCCAACTCACCTGCCAATCACCTTTAATCATCTTTCATTCTTAAAAAAAAGTTTCATCTAACAAATTATATACTGTGGACTGATGCAAGCTCAAATTAAGACAAGGGTGACAGAGAATTGGTTACTTGTTGGGTTCAGCCGCAAAAAAAAAAAAAAAAAATCCAAAGACATTTCGCATAAACCATCCATCAGTCAGGTAAGGAAGGTCTGGTTAAACAACACCTGGGAAATATTCTACCTGTGGCTCTAGAACCTTAATTATCCCTCCAGCTACACATACCCCATTCCCCTACTTACCTCCCTCCCTCTCTCCCCACCTCCCTAATTTCTCCCTACCTACCCCCCTCCCCCCTCACCTCTCCCTCCCCTTGCTTGCTTCTTCACATGGGTTCCGTTTATTTGACCAGGTGAACCATCCCTCTTGTATTTACTACCTCTTGTTGGCGTCCGTTCACTGTCTTTGTCTGCTGAGTCTTTGTACCAGCTGTCGGCGAGGGTTTCAAGGTCCTACTTGGCCTTGAACGAGGAGAAGAAGCAGGAGTAGTTCCGCTCTACCTGTCTCCCTGCGTCTATATATACAGACACCTCGCGTAATGGTAATTAATTAGGGCATCTTTTCTCCCAGGTTGACAGAGGAATTTGTGTGTATAATGACTACAGGTACTAAGGCTTTGTTGTCTGAGTGTGAGTAAACTACTGACTTGGGGGTTGATAAGTATAATGAGCATGATAGAAAATGAACTGTAATCTATAATAATAATAATAATAATAATAATAATAATAATAATAATAACTAAATAACTCGACTCTGTAAACGTCGCCAAAAAAAAAATAAACTCAACACTTGCAGTTCCAGTAAAGCTCATATGATCAAGAACACAAGTGAACGATAACGAAAGCACAAGACGGTGAACATAAACCAGATACATTAGGAACAATATAACAAGATTTACGTCAAGATAATATATATTAATCCCCAGCCGTCTGTTCACACTTGCAATGGACAATATAACGTGGCGACACACACACACACACACACACACACACACACACACACACACACACACACACACACACGACATCCCACCAAATCAACTGAAATTACTGAGTGAGTTTATTTTATACACCTGATTGTAGAAAGACGAATATAGAGAGTTACATACATACATACACTATTTGTTAACCACCAGCGAGACGACGTGCCCTGAAGGCGCTCCCAGTTTGAGCAGGCAGGCCGAGTCTGTTTGGCCCCCTCCCTCTACTATATCCCAACACCCTCCCAGCCTTACTACACCGGGATCTATTCAGCAAAACATTCAAGTGATCAGTGAACGATTGACTACCAAACAGTGTTCCTAAGGTGTATTCCAAGGAAAAGCACAAAAACACAGCAGTGTAATACCGAGTGTGGCTGGATCTGACCTAACCTGACCTGACCTCACGGCTTCACCTGACCTAATCTGAAGGATGGAGCACACCTGCATTGCCCCAAGCTACTCTCCTGGCCACGTGGACACACACCTGCCCAACCGCATCCAGCCCATACAAGCACGAACTGATTATTATAAGAACAGCTCAGTCCCAACCATTGTAAAAGTTATCAACACCTAATTGTTATATATCATATTTGTATGACCTATGTTACCTGTATATCATTTGTAAATCAAGAGACCTTATTATAGAATGGATATCAATTCACTAGAGTCGGTGCAGCGAAGAATGACGAAAATGATTGCGGAACTTAGAAACCTTCCATATCAGGATAGGTTAAAGAAACTAAACTTGCATTCCCTAGAAAGACGAAGAGTGCGGGGAGATATGATAGAAGTATTTAAGTGGGTGAAAGGAATCAATAAAGGTGATATAGATAAAGTTCTTATAATATCCGAGCAGGATAGGACTCGGAACAACGGATTCAAGTTGGATAAGTTTAGGTTTAGGAGGGAGATAGAACATAAGAAAATAAGGAGTCTGCAATAGGCCGGTTGGCCTGTGCATGGCAGCTCCTGTCGAGGAAGGAACTGGTTCACAAATAGGGTGGTGGACGAGTGAAACAAGCTTAGCAACTTTGTAGTAAGTGCTGGAAAGCTGAAAAGTTTCAAAAGGAGGCTGGATAGATTCATGGATGATAGAGAGTGGTAGTAACTCTCGACAGGAGCTGCCATGCACAGGCCAACCGGCCTATTGCAGACTCCTCATTTTCTTATGTTCTTATGTTAAAAGACCCATTCCCCATTTATGTAATTGTATATTTTTAGCCTTCCGGCTGCCATGCTCTTTCAATAAACCATTAATTATTATTATTATTATTATGACATACATACATACATACATACATACATACGCCAACACACACCAGACCGTACAAGCAGAGAAGCACGCAAGCATTACCTACAACAAGCCTAAAGCAAAATACCTATTAACTACCACCACAAGTTTGCAATATTTAAAACAATACTTACATGAAGGAAACGACCATTAATAAATTTAGTAAATCAACACGAGTATAAAAAAAGACAATGTTGCAATGCATAAAGTATATATAAGAAATTAGAACAGGTTATCATTAATAGATCGTAGACTATAATTAAAGTCATTTGGTCGTCATAAGCGCTTCTGATGTTTCACAGGTGGTGTTTTGTGGCCAGAAGCGGATTCGTGAAGCCTTGTGATTGTTTTATTGCACGCCTTAAGTGGATAATATCTCCAGTAATGCCCAGTATGTATATGTATATTGTGTGTGTGTGTGTGTGTGTGTGACAGGGCAGACCATATTACACCTTAGACACCTCAACAGTCCACCAAGGAGACACTCAAGACAGAAGAAAAGATAAGTGTATAATAAGGGACTTAACCCATCAATACAAGTTAATAATAAAGACTCTAAGGATAGTTTTACACATACATCAACACCATCAACAACTGTTCAAATCAATTTCTTCAACTCTACTGTGGTTATAAAATCAATTACCATCACTACCCCTGTACAAGATAACATTGGAAATCTTCACTTTGACTTAACATCCAACACACCAAACATCCTGCAGCCAACGTAACACCAGTACAACTACCATCCATCATCATTTGTGACACCGCGACAAAAAACATCAATCAAACATGTAATTATGCAAATATTAAATGTAGTAGTTCCAGTATCTTAAACATCTAGAAGCATAATAATTCATCCCGTGTTGATGTTCTTCTCTGTAACGTTAATTTGACAGCTGGAATAAATCTCTATAACTTATACTAGACATCTTCTATAACTCCCTGGATATATTATAGATGATTACTTCCAACCTGTCGTATACATAAGGTGTTTATGTCTCGTCATCACAACACCATGAGATCGACGGTGTCCTCATTGGGAAAAACTGGAGCTACGAATTAATCTTTATGTTCATCAGTTCACACACACACACACACACACACACACACACACACACACACACAAAGAATAAATTTCATCGCCTGTG